CTTTTTCAGTGATTCTACTAACTCCTCCAATGTTGTTGGAGTTATATAGGGCTACAGAAAACATCGCCGCCTCAACTGCTGCTTCATCACCACTATGTATGTACGGCTTGTGCTCTCAGTGGCCCTTATACACCCAACAACAGCAGAATACCTCTCGTGACATGCATAATGATTTATTTTATTTATTCTAGAGTATATATCATGTTTCTATGTTATTAATATTGTTTATTATGTCATATTAGTTGAATTGTGATAGATAAATAAGCCGTAGAGTTCATATTAGTGTCATATTCTCCAACAATAAACTTGCCTCCCTCTCCCCTCCACCCCATCTGCCATACACCAACAAGAGTCTTCAATAAAGGTGTGATGTCAAATGTTCATTTATACATTTTATTAGCACTTTATATTTATTTGTCATTCTTTTCTGCATGTAAATCTATATTTAAGCTAGGAAAGTGACCCCTGATAAGGACTTGGTACCTAGAGTCCTTATGGAGGGGGAATTCCCCTCCAAACAATAACCTCTCTTCCCTCCCTCCCCTCCTCCCTGTCTTCCATCCATCAACAACAGCCTTCAATTAAGGTAAGTGTCATGTTGAATGTTCATTCTTTTGTGCATGTAAATCTATCTTTTTGGTAAAAAAAATTTTTGTTGTTAATACTTCTGGGTGTCTGGAACAGATTAATTGGATTTACGTTATTTTTTATGAGGAAAATAGTTTCCGTTTTCGCTGATTGCTCTGGAACGGGTTAAACATGAAAAGCGAGGGTCCACTGTATGAATGCATGTAGGTATATATACAGTAGACCATTGGTTAACATGCAATTTATAAGCACTTCCACATTATCATAACTGTTGGGCCCCCTGCTGTTCACAATCTACATAAACGACATAGATGAGGGCATAAAGAGCGACATCGGCAAGTTTGCCGATGACACCAAAATAGGCCGTCGAATTCATTCTGACGAGGACATTCGAGCACTCCAGGAAGATTTGAATAGACTGATGCAGTGGTCGGAGAAGTGGCAGATGCAGTTTAATATAGACAAATGCAAAGTTCTAAATGTTGGACAGGACAATAACCATGCCACATATAAACTAAATAATGTAGATCTTAATATTACGGATTGCGAAAAAGATTTAGGAGTTCTGGTTAGCAGTAATCTGAAACCAAGACAACAGTGCATAAGTGTTCGCAATAAAGCTAATAGAATCCTTGGCTTCATATCAAGAAGCATAAATAATAGGAGTCCTCAGGTTGTTCTTCAACTCTATACATCCTTGGTTAGGCCTCATTTAGATTATGCTGCACAGTTTTGGTCACCGTATTACAGAATGGATATAAATTCTCTGGAAAATGTACAAAGGAGGATGACAAAGATGATCCCATGTATCAGAAACCTTCCCTATGAGGATAGACTAAGGGCCCTGAAACTGCACTCTCTAGAAAGACGTAGAATTAGGGGGGATATGATTGAGGTTTATAAGTGGAAGACAGGAATAAATAAAGGGGATGTAAATAGTGTGCTGAAAATATCTAGCCTAGACAGGACTCGCAGCAATGGTTTTAAGTTGGAAAAATTCAGATTCAGGAGGGATATAGGAAAGTACTGGTTTGGTAATAGAGTTGTGGATGAGTGGAACAAACTCCCAAGTACAGTTATAGAGGCCAGAACGTTGTGTAGCTTTAAAAATAGGTTGGATAAATACATGAGTAGATGTGGGTGGGTGTGAGTTGGACCTGATAGCTTGTGCTAACAGGTCGGTTGCCGTGTTCCTCCCTTAAGTCAATGTGACCTGACCTGACTAGGTTGGGTGCATTGGCTTAAGCCGGTAGGGACTTGGACCTGCCTCGCATGGGCCAGTAGGCCTTCTGCAGTGTTCCTTCGTTCTTATGTTCTTATGTTCTTAACATATACTAATCAGTTTACACAGCAGATTTCATGTAGGGGAAAATTTGACGTACACCGGGTTCTTTCCCCTCCTCGCACTGAGCATACGGGTGAATCCATTGTCTTACAGGGGATGCCTACTTAATGTATAGGTGTTCCTCGACCTACGATGGGGTTACGTTCTGACAAACCCATCGTAAGTGGAAAATATTGCAAGTCAGACCATTGTAAGTCCAGGAGCAACTGTACTGTATATAACCTTTCCTCACCTCAGTGCTCCATTCATACATGTTTAACCCTTTCAGGGTCAAGAGGCCCTCTCTGAAAGTCTTTCTCAGGGTCGAAAAATATTCGAAAAAAAAATTATTTTATCTTATGAAATGATAGAGCATGTTTTTGTGAGTGTTATAGACCAAAAAAAAAAAAAATTGCGATCAATACTTACCCAGATATGGAGGCGTGAAGTTGACAAAAAATGAGCTGCATATGGCAACATCACCAGCTGCCGATCACGCAGTAATTGTTTATTTATTTTTTATTTTTTATTTTATTTTTTAACATTTTATTTTTTCAAGTAACTTTTGTGGCCTGTGAGACCAATATAAGCCATATATTGTATATATTCACGCATTGTATGCTACACAATAACTGCACAAACACTGACAGGTAAACACTTTCATGTACCTTAGTCACATACTATTGTCTAGAAATATACACATAGTATTTATAGGTCCCAGCAAATTTGGATATGTGGGAGTATATAATAATAATAATAATAATAATAATAATAATGTTTCCTTGAAGCTTGGTGTAAGACAAGTGTCACTCCACACTGCTGACACAGTGCAGTAGTGGTGACATTTGATGAGCCTTGGCTTTATTTGTTTTCATAGTTACATATAAACATGTCTGTCTGTCTAGCTCTCTGTTTATCTCTGTCTCCTTATCTGTCTGTCTCTCTGTCTGCTTCTCTCTTTTTCTGTCTCTCTGCTTGTCTCTCTGTCTCAGAGAGTGCCACTCATGAACCAACATATTACACATGATGCAGTCTGATTCCTGAGCAAGTGTAAATACGTAATACTTGCCAGTCATGCCTTACTACGCATTATATCTACAAGCACAGTATAGCACTTTGCTTGGATTTTTGGGGTTATCCTAGGTAATTTACACTATGTATAATTGTATCTGAGACAGAGACAGAGATAGACAGAGACAGAGGTAGACAGAGACAGAGATAGAGACAGATATAGATACAGACAGACGGAGATAGAGACAGCCAATCAGCCAGCCGGCCAGCCATGTTGTTTATACAAACCCACGCTGTCTTCCCCACTACAGACACTCCCTTCCCTACTACCCACACTACCCTCCCCACTACCCACTGTCTTCCCCACCACCCACATGCAAATAAATCACTTTGTCTGACTTTTTTGGGTTATCCTAGGTAATCTACACATATGTTGCTATGTTTACACAAACCCACACTGCCTTCCCCACTACCTACACTGCCTTCTCCACCAACCACAGTCTTCCTCACCAACTATGCTGTCTTCCCCACCACCCACATGCAAATAAGTCACTTTGTCTGACTTTTTTGGTGGAAGGTTGATAATGGTGTGGGTTTTCATCACTATTTCTGGTATCCTGGTCATTACTCTCTGTCACAAACTCCTCAGAACCATTAGATTCATCTTCATTAACACATCAGTCTGTGTTAGAACTACCATTTGAGAAGGGAAGAGTCCCAATTCGCTGGAGAGTGAGGTATTCCTTACTGCTTGGCTTGATGACCAAGGCGCACTGAATTACCACTCCCACAATACAATGTGGGTGCCCTGATTTTTTTTTTTCAACTGCACACACACTGACCATGCAGACCCATTCTCTCACATGTAGGCCTACCAGCTTTTTCCTGCTTGATTGAAGGCACTAGAATTTATGCGTACTAGTACGACACCTGCCCTGGTGTGCAAGCCATACTAGTACGGCACCGACCCTGAAAGGGTTAATGACATACCTTGACCCCATGCCTCCACCCATTCCCAGCCACACACCCAGTAACCTCGCCACACACCTAGCAACCTCGCCACACACCTAGCAACTTCTACTTCACCAACCACTTATATAAAACACCCTTCTGTCCCCCCGTCCTTCCCACACGCCCAGCAACCTTGTCACTCACCCAGCAACTTTGCCACACACCCAGTAACCCTGCCACACACCCAGCAACCTTGCCACACACCCAGTAACCTTGCCACTCACCCAGGAACCCTGCCACACATCCAGCAACCCTACCACATGTCCAGCAGCCTCGCCACTCACCCAGTAACCCTGCCATACACACAGTAACCCTGCCACACACCCAGTAACCTTGCCATACACACAGTAACCCTGCCACACACCCAGTAACCCTGCCACATACCTAACAACCTCGCCACACATCCAGCGACTTTGCCACAAGTCTAGCAATCTTGCCACACGTCCAGTGACTTCACCACACATCCAGCAACCTCGCCACACGTTCAGCAACCTCGCCACACGTCCAGCGACCTCGCCACACATCCATCAACCTCACCACACACCCAGCAACCTCAACACACCCAGCAACCTCACTCAATACTGGCCACACTCCCAGCAGCCTCACTTATACTGGCCACATTCCCAGCAACCTCACTTAATACTGGCCACACATACAATTTCACGCATTAAAAATATCAATTAATATACATTAGCCAGAACTCTGCTGGTATTCACACATTAGCCAGAACTCTGCTAGTATTCACACATTAGCCAGATGTTGCTGGTATTCACACATTAGCCAGGACACTGGTATTCACACATTAGCCAGGACACTGGTATTCACACATTAGCCAAAATGATGCTGGTATTCACACATTCAAATTCAAAATTTGAATAAAATTTTTTATTTCTTTGCAAGGTTTACAATGTGTGACTGACATGTTATAAGGAGTCTATTTCCATGCACAGTTTACAATGTGTAATTACAATACTGATTTGCAAGGGCAAAGAAAGCCACTATCATGCCGAGGCATTTTGGGCAGACTAAACCTAATGCTTTACAGACCACTAAGTAGTCATCTTACCTGCCACTGAGGGAAAGGCAGGTGCCAAGGCCTCCATCTGCACTCTGGCCTTACCTGCCACACAAGGAAAGGTTTGGTCCATGGTCTTCGTGGCATCCAGTTCAGGGCATTGAGAAGGTCTGCAGCTTGCATGATTACTGTTAACAGCTCTCTTCTATACAACACTTCAATTTTATCCCTATGAAAATTAAAATTATTTGTGATTGATCTATTACTTTAATTGCACATATCATAATATTAAATAACCGATGATACACAATATTGAAAAGTTGATGAATAAGACACATGTGCAGAACTTTGTTGTTTTTACTAACAAAACCTTAAAGATAGTCAAGTGCTACAAACTTATCTTATTTATCAGTAACATTAAATAATGTACTGTCTAGGTTTAACTCTCATATCAAATGAAGGCACAGCTATCTACTACTCTGATGACCTTGAATGTATTAAATCTACTTGCACCAGTGATGAATATGGTGAATAAATATTTGCAAAATTTAAATCCAAAAACCTAAAAGAACCTATAACAGTTGGAGCAATCTACAGAGTACCTCACATGAATACTTAGACATTTAGTGAAAACCTAACAAACATGATAACTGACTCAAAGATGAATAAACACCACCTGATACAGGTGACCTCAACATAACCTTCATCCATGACCACAACCCACAACTGAATTCACAAACACTATGAGCAACTGCTTGCTTCTACCATCTATAACTAAACCAACAAGAATCTCCGAGACAAGTGCCTCATTGATAAATGGTTTAAAAAAACGACAAGTTGAAGATTGAAACACTTATGCAACATTACCTCAGACAAATACTCAAACACACTAGAGAAGGGAAGAAACTTCTGTACTTGTTACCCAGCAACCCTAAACCAGCACACATGTATGGTTTACCCAAGACCCACAAATATAATATTCCTCTCAAACCAATCATGTCAGGTATAGGCAGTGCACCACACAAACTAGCCAGAGTTCTTGCCAAACATCTTTCCTGCCTTCTGGGGACCATCAGCCCCGCTCATGTTAAACATTCAGGCGACCTTCTCAACCGCATCCGAAACCTCTGCATCCGTAAAAAGAATCTAAGCAGTTTGGACATGACTTCCCTCTTCACAAAAGTACCTACCACAAAAGCCATTGAGGTTCTATGACGTAAAGTCAATCAGGACCTTAATCTTCCTCTACCTCCCGGAGATTTTGTTGACTTGATTGAACTCTGTGTTAATTTCAACTGTTTTTCTTTCAATAACAGGTTCTACAAACAAAACTACGGCATGGAAATGGGGTCCCCCATCAGTGCCATCCTACCCAACTTGTACATAGAACACCTAGAGTCCGAACACTTCGCCAACATCATCCCTTCAAGCGTCACTTGGTTATGTTATGTGGATGACGTCCTCGTAATAACTCCCAAACGTTTTGATGTATGGAATCTACAGGCAAGGCTCAACGCAGCTGAACCAGCAATCCAGTTTACACTAGAAGAAGAGTCCAATGACAAGCTACCTTTCTTCGACATCCTCATTCACAAAGCAGACAATAACCTAAGATTTCAAGTTTATCAGAAACTTACCAATAAAAATGATCTCACACACTTCTATTCCAGTCAAGATACTAAGACTAAAAGTGGCATCATCATCAGGTTTTTCCTAAGAGCATACCGAATTTGTAGTCCTGAGTTTCTTGACGAGGAATGTACACACATTCACCAAACATTCACTGATTTACATTTTCCTTCCTTTTTCATCAAAGACTGCAAGAAAAGAGCTCTTCAGATCATTAATTCTCCACGCACCAACACCACTCCCAACAAAGTTATAATTCTTCCCAGCAGCCAGGTTGCACTGAACATTTCTAAAGTACTTTCACAAGCTAACACCAGAGTCGCCATCGCTTCCAGCACTTCGATAAAGGATCTAACCAGAACAAAATCCAAGCACCATGAACCAGTCAACGCAGGGATTTACACTATACCCTGTGGAGGCTGCGACAAGATTTATGTAGGTGAAACAGCAAGAAACCTCGACACCCGCCTCAATGAACGCATTTACGCATGTAGGAATGATAACATGAACAATGCCTGTGTACAACACCGAAATTCCACCAATCATCTCATGAAGTTTAGGGACGCCCAACTAGTGATCAAAGAAACTAATTTCCGCAGACGCAAGTGCCTTGAATCTTCACTAATAGCCGTTTCTAATACAATTAAACAAAACAAAGGCAGCTTCACCATCTCTGAAGTCTTAGCAAGAATCCTCCTGAAAAGAGTAAACCCTGCCATCACATAGTCTCTCCTGTTAACCCTTTCAGGGTCCAAGGCCAAAATCTGAAGTGGTGCCCCAGTGTCCAAGAATTTTCAAAAAAATAAAAGTTATTTTTTCTTATGAAATGGTAGAGAATCTTTTTGTGAATGTAATAAAACAAAAAGTACGAAATTTGATGGGAAATTGACGAAATTATGCTCTCGTGAATTTTGATGTGTCAGCGATATTTACGAATCAGCGATTTTGCCGACTTTGACTCCCATTTTAGGCCTATTACATTATTCCAGTCGACCAAATTCTTAGCTATTTCACTAGCATTACTTCTATTCTATTGATTGAGCACAAGAAATCACCAAGTCAACTGTTTCAACTACAAAATAAAGTGACCGGAAATTGGTAATTTGACCAATTTAACACAAAGTTCAAAATATTCCAATTTCAAAATAGGGTCCAGAATAAACAATGTAGGTATTCCTGGCACTAAACTAACATTTCCTCTGTTCATTAGTTACATTTTGAGGCTTTACAAATAAATTTCATTTTGATTTTTTATTCACATAATGAATTTTTATTCACACCAAAAAATAGAAGATTTACTGTTATGCAGTATTGTAATAATTGTATAAATATCATCACCACATTTGTGAATGTATATTAGACCCACCAGCTAGCGTGTATTAGACATGTGAGGTCATTTGTTCACTCTTGAACATCGGTAAAAATTTAACATTTCCGCCACTTTGAGCTCAGTTTCAAGCCATTTCCAGTGCTAAAACCAATCAAAATTATCTCTATTTCTGTAATATGTCTTCCATTCTATCAAATGAGACCAAGAAATCACAAATACAACTATAAAAACATACGAAAAAACACTGCAAAGTCGCTGTTTTAATAAAAAATCACGGTCTCAGTTTTTTTCTCTCATTATACACAGTGTGCTGCAGGATTTGTTTTATGTGGTGCACACATACCACATAGATGTATTCTCTCATATCTAGGCCCAAATTTACCACTCACAGTTTATCAGAGTGAGCTGAGCTCATGACGTAGATCTACGGTTTGGACCCTGAACGTAAAGCCGTAGATCTACGGGACGGACCCTGAAAGGGTTAATACTACACAAGCACATTACAGAGAATGAACACTGAAACAGGCCTTCTCTATCCAGCCTCCAATAGAAATATTTGTCTATCGTATTTTTATGTTTCCCAAGTAATAGCTTTTCTATCCTTTTACTCATGTGCAAGTTAATTGTTCTAACATATTGTATTACTACTACTACTACTACTACAACTTACATCACTACTACTACCACCACTAGTATTGCACCTCACTCTAAGCCTATATATACCCTCTGTGTCCATGTGTTGTTTGTAACGGCTTGACAAAGCTCCTGGAGAGCGAAACGTTGCCACAATAAAATGTCACATTAGTTGCACTTGCGTCCTTTTACTTTACAACATTACCTCAAACTCCTCCTCTCCTTACGCCCTTCTGATTTGTATTGGACTGATGAAGCCACTGTGTGGCGAAACGTTTCCTCATTAAAGATTCCCATATGTTGCATAAGTGTCTCAATCTTCAAGTGCCTCATTACTTGACCATATCTGGACCAACACTACAAGAATAATAATAATAATTTTATTTTAGCATGATACATGTTTGAATAAAAGGAGTGTAACAACTAGGTGAACATGCCAAAAGCCCTTTTGTATGTAGAGTATTTCGGGCAAACTTAAGACTAAATTAAGATTAATAAGGCAATAACAGTGCTGTAATTGTACATATGGTCATTAGGCGAGTAACAGTGAATACAAAAAAACTGAATATTCTATTAGCTCACACTATATGGATTTAATAAGTTAGGTAGTGAAGAATTACAGTTTTGATATAGTATATAAAAAAGTACATTACAGGTCTCCCTCAATATTCATAAGAACATAAGAAAGGAGGAACACTGCAGCAGGTCTGTTGGCCCACACTAGACAGGTCCTTCACAATCCATCTCACTAACAGAATATTTGCCCAACCCAATTTTCAATTCTACACAAGCAATTAGCTTTGATAATTCTGTTAACTCATGGGCAAGTCCAACTCAAATCCAACCTCTCTCACTCATGTATTTATGCAACCTAAATCTGAAACTACCCAAGGTTTTAGCCTCAATAACCCTATTAGGCAGACTGTTCCACTCAACTACCCTACCTATCAACTACCCTATTTTCAAACCAATACTTTCCTATATCCTTTCTAAATCTAAACTTGTCTAATTTGAATCCATTACTGTGGGTTCTCTCTCAGAGAGATATCCTCAAGACCTTATTTATATCCCATTTATTAATTTATTTATTTATTTTATTTATTAATTTGAACATGATACAGTGAAGTACAAAGGAATACAGTTATTACAGTGCAACATGCCAAAGCCCCTTGTATGCAGAACATTATGAGCAGGCTTAAAATTAACTTAAGATTAACTAAGCAATGATATATTCAGTGGTAAAAACATTATTGTAAACAGATAACAATTTAGCACAAATGAGTATTACAAAGACAGGTCATATGGTCATTTACTGTGTTGCTGAGCATTCAGTAGAATGGAGTATTCTGTTAGGTAATGTAATTAAAAAATAAAGTTTAACTGGGTCACAGGTTAGACATTTATGAGATACAATAATGAGAAACATTTATGAGATACAATTTGTGAGATACAATTATTCAGTATTAATTTACTTGTGGGTGAGTAAGTGATCTTTGAGAAGAGACTTGAATTTATAAACAGACAGTGTTTCTTTTATATTCACAGGTAATGAATTCCAGATTTTAGGGCCTTTTATGTGCATTGAGTTTTTGCATAGCGTGCGATGGACACGAGGAACATCAAAGAGTGATCTGTGC